CCCCAAAACCCCAAAACCCCAAAACCCCAAAACCCCGTTAATGATGGCACCTTATACCTGGATAATAATATAATGATAATGTTAGAATAATTGCGCCCTTATCTTCTAAATTACCCAAAATAAAACTCATCCTACTCAAAAATACTTCATTATATCCCCTACAATCCCTTCATAACTTAACCACCACCCCACCTTAATTCCAACAAAAAAACTCTTAAAATCTCTCTAAACCCCTCTAAACCCACTCCCAAACCCAAAAAGTCCTAATTCTCTTATTTACATCCAAAAATTTAACTTTCTCACTGAAACCCTTCAAAATCTCCAATAATCCCAGTTACAGTCATCCAATGTTCTAACTAATCAGCTGTTAAAGTCTTGAGATTAGCCTATTAGGTTATAATAGCAGTAGACTTAGAGCCATGCTGCTTAGGTAACCGCACAGGGAGTTTCCCATAATTTTTGGTCCAATGACCAGTTCTGGGGACTTTTAGAAGAAATTTTAAGTGTCAAAAGCAGATTTTTGGTGCAGAGATGGGGTTCAATTTGAGCGAAGACATTTTATGGTGGGTAAGTGCCTACTGGCTTGTAGATGGAATTTAGTTATATGAAAATATTCATTTAAGCAAAACTCTCGTTGGAATAGCTACTCTCGTCAAGCCTTTTTCGTGAATCTCCCTTGTTAGCACCCGGATCACTGAAGAAGTCTTGGGAGTTTGGTGATAAATCGTTCTTTTTGGACTTATTCTTGAAATGGCTAGTATTCTTAGAAGTACCACGATCCTGAGTTTGGTAGATATGGCTAGCAGTTTCGTATTGCTTATCCTCTTCTTCAATAGTCTTAAGTCTTTCAGCTCCACCAGCCAGACCACCGTTACTCATGTTTCTCCGGTTATCATCTGGAGGTGCCTGGAAGTTATGCAAAGCTGAACGGAGAGAGTCTTCATTATTTCCGATTTCTAAATTCTCGCTTGGAATAAAGTTGAGTGCTCTCTCTTTGAGGTCGTCGCTTTGGGAAACTTCCTCGATAAATTTAGTCAACTTCTTCATAAAGATTAAGTCTTTATAATTAGAATCAATAGAAAGGATATCTTTAAGATCCTCTTGGACAGTCTGATAAGTTTCTCCTTCTCTTGTGAGAATCTTGGTATCATCAATAGTTTCGAGGAATTCTTGAGTGACAACCTCTTGTTTGAGTGTATCAAAAAAGTCTTTAGCAGCGATTAACTCCACTGTGGACTCCTTGGACTTAGCCTTGACCAATTGTTGGTACACCTTGTTGCCAAAGAAGTTATAAGTGTTCAAATCATTACGGATTAGATGCTCGATGAAGAGGAAAATCACTCAGACACTTCTATCTCCGACACAGTTGAAGTCGAGTCCTTTCTTTTTAGGAGCATCTCCAGGCTGTTGCTCTTCGTCTTCTTCCTTCCCTTCAGTTGAAACTTCTTGGTTTTCATTAGTCTTATCGAGCATTTCATCTATGAGACCTCGAAGTCTGTCAGTGTCTTTCAGAATGTCAAGCTCTTCAATGAGAATAAGGTCGCTTAACTCTTGTCTGGAGAGTATATTCACTAATCAAGCAATGTCAAGCTCTGTGAAGTCCTCAATTCCAAGCCTCCTGATACCCTCTATGAAGTGTATTGGTGCAAGGAGTTCAATCTTCTGGTCTTCTATGTGTTCAACCACCATATCGTCTTTGAAGAGTTCTCTAATGGAAATATCCTTGACTTTAAGCTCATTGGCGATTCGGAGTAAGCATGTCTCTGCGATGCGAATCATTTCTTCATCATTAATGTATTCATCCTCGCCTTCTGCAAGGTCAGCATCAGTAGGATTTTTATCAGTATCTTGGTGATTCTCCGTATTCATATTCTCAGAATTATTAATCTGAGTCTCTTCATTATCAATATTTTCTGCTTCCTTAGCATTCTCCGGTGCTTCTAGAGCAAACTTTCGTGCATCAGCTTTGGTGACGGACTGGGAGAAGAAGGAGTCATCTTCGACATCTTCATACTTATGCATATATTCACTACTGTCTTGGGTGAGGATCTCTAGGAGGTGTCTGTAGTTTAGCTTCCTCGAGTTCTGACTCATTTTATACATCTCATAGACCATGAATTCAATATGTAGCTTGGTAAAGTTAAGGTTCATGCCTCGTAGAACTCCTCGGAACTGATCGTAGCTCAAAAACCCATTTTGATTGACATCCTCAATACCCAGAGCTGAGCGGAAGATGTCCATATCAGATGAGAGGATTTCTTGGATGTTTTCCTTAATTTCATTCATTTCTGCTTTCTTGATGGCATTATCTTCATCAAAGATAATATAGTCCTCAGTGACTACCTTGTTTTTGAACTTTGAGACTAAATTTAAGAACCAGAAACTTACCAACGGCAATTTTGTCCATGTCTGCATTGACGTCGTAGGGGATAAGATCCCCGTGAGCATCATTCTCAACTAGATATCTACAGATTTGTTCGATGATATCTGGGTCCTCAAACTTCTGTAGTTCCTCAAAATGTACTTTCAGCTGCTCAAGGCTGATCCTCTTTGTTGATGGGAACAGCTTGCTTATCTTCTCGTAAGGAATCTTCTTGTTTTGGAGTATGAGCTTGAACTCTATTTTCACAAATTCTGGCAGATCTACGATGCTCACTCTGGATTTGTAAACATTTGTATTGGAAGATTTCTTCTCTTCTAGCTCCATCTCGATGCTTGAGTCACTCCGATTTTCAGTTAGGTCATTCATATTGGTGCCATCTATATTGGAGCTGAGACGATCTTTGCGTGGATCTAATTCTTGGTCTCGAATGTCGTCATCTTCAAGATCCTCATCGAAGTTATCGTCAGGGTTGTCAGCTTGGTTCTCTTTTGGAGAAGCAGGCTTTATTTCTATCTCTATTTCCCTTTCCTCAGGTTTAGACTCTTGACTGGAGGATTTCCGCTTCTTTGGTGTTGTCTTCCTCTCTTCAGTGGTCTGATCCATGTATTGATTCAATGTGCTGCTGATGTAGTTTACGGCAATGTTGCTTATGTCTCCATCATCACTTACATCATTTTTGGACTCATCCTTTTTGGAAACATGAATACTACTCTCAGAGGCTTCATGAGATTTTCTCATAGGTGTTTCAAGGACTTTTTCTTCGGCTTTTGGAGAAACTTTAGGCTCATTCTCTTGTGACAAACGGACTGACCTCTTGCTTGTCTTTTCTTTTTCTACCGACTTAAGCTCTAACAAAGGCTTTTCAATAGGAACCGGGATGATCCCCTTGGTTGGAATTTTGGGAGGTGTTTTAGGAGTTTCTTGTGGTGTTGGTTTATCCTTTTTAGCCTCTTCATCGTAGTCATCTCCCTCTGGAGTATTAATAATTTCCTTATCCATAAGAGCTTTACCAATTTTAGTCTCTTCTTTCTTCGGGGTGTTTATTCTTGTATTATCTTCCTCGGGATCATCAGGTTGGTTAATAACTTCACTGACATCCTGGTTAAGTGAAATCCCATGAACCTTAGTAAAGTCTGGAGCAGGCTTGACTGCTTGGCTCACATTCTGAGGGTCATCTTTTGACTCTAAATGAGGAGTGTGGATGGATTTCTCTGTAATATAAAGTGTGCGGAACCTTTCAAGTTCCTTCTGCTGGCTACTATTCTTATCCTTTTGGTCCTGTAGTTGTTTATTTCAAATCCTCAATCTCATTTCTTGTGGTGTTGGCTTGCCTATTCTGGCTAAATTTATCAGCCTTGAGTTTATTAAGCTCAGATTCAAGTGCGGTTCTTTGTCTTAAGACATCGCTCATTTTGAGCCTGTCTCTCTCACGTTCTGATTTTAACTGCTCTGGTGTCAGGCATGTGGACTTGAGGTTATTTAGAGTTTTATTTTAAAGATAATATTTCACTTTGTAATTTGCTGATTTCCTTGTTATTTAGACTTTAGCTGCTTTTCATGCCTGCGTCTTTCTCTGACAGAAGGATCCCTATTTGTTACTCTTTGGTCTTTCTTTGTTCTCAGCTGAGAGATCCTTCAGATGGATAATCTCTATTTCTTTCTCATGTAGGAGTTGTTCGAGGTTTCTGTTCTCGCCACGTAATCTTTCCATGATCATTGTTTGGTCATGAAATCGTTGCTCAAGTTCATGCCTGGTTTGGTTATCAAGGAGGGGGTCTTTTGAAGTAATAACACCCTTAGCAAGTATTCTTAGCCTTTCACATTCTTTCATGTAGGTTTGGACTTCAGTCTCTAACTCTTTGAATTTAGTGAGCCTGATGTTCTTGTTAAGCCTCTTGATCTCTTCATCTTTCATTTCCACTTCTTGTCTGAGATCTTTGATATGTCTTTTCATGGCGCTGGAGAGGTGGCCTTCTGCTTTGATCCTGCCTATTTGGGCAATGCCAGTGTTATTCTGAAGAATCTCTTCAAGGATTTTGTCCTTTCGGGTATTTTCAGCTTCTAATTTGTACAAATTTGTACGAAGCTTTGTGTTTTCACTGACCTTAGAGTTGTGAGCAAGCTTGAGCTTCAGGACATTATCGTAAAGACTTCTTTTATCATTTCTAATAATCTTGGGTCGCATCCTGTTCAGGTCGAATACAGGGAGATCAACTGAAGCGTTTGGGGAATTAAGCTTGGACATTACAGCTGAGACTGGCCTTTTCATCCCATTGTATCTACTGTTCTTGGCACTTCCTCCTACCCTGAAATTATGGGAATTTACAATATTTGATGCTGGAGGGGATGAGACTCCAGAAGATGCTAAAATTTGCAATGTCTGATTCAACCCTGTATTCATTCCTTTGTTATTATTAAACAAATCATTTCTGTTAAGTTGAAAATCAGTTTCGATCTCCTTGACCTTAAATCCGTTCTTTTTAAAGTTTTTGTATCTCCTAGGGCCAGAATTTGATTTATTTACGCTTGTTGAGATGCTGATTCTTAAGCTCAATGCTTACCTCTGCTTCACTATTATTGTGGTTATTAGTATTATCAAAGAGATCCCTATCATCATTGTATAAGGATCTGTCCATGTCGGAGACCAGCCCTTGGCGTAGTTGTTCTGTCTCTTTTAGTAGCAAAGACATTTTGAGTTTAAATATATATTTTTGGCTGGGGTTTTGGGGTTTTGGGGTTTTGGGGTTTTGGGGTTTTGGGGTTT